GTCCAAAACGATCAAATATAGAAGATCGTTCATCCTCACTGAATGCAGTGCATTTTTTCCCTATTGCACACAATCGAGTACAATTCCTTTCTCCCAATGTTCTCTTTTGCTTCTCAGATGAATACACATAATGACCCTCGTCATCTTTCTTTATCCCGCTATAATCCTTTCCTTCCATTCGTAATTGCTTTTGTATGTTCTTTTTCCATTTTTCTGGCATGGCTTTTCCTGGCTTTGATCTTTTATGTGGGGGGTTGTGTGTGGGTGTATTTGGGGATGAAGGTACAGAGGTTGTTGAAATTGGTCTAATTGGAGAGTGGGCAAGATCTTCATCAGAGGAGGAACATTCGAAAAGTTTTCTTTTCTTCCTTGGTTTCCAATCAGGATCTCTATCAGAATCGTCAGCATCAGATTCAGTCTCCAGTAGAGTGCTATCACTAAGTGATGATTTGTTCATCGTGTACCGCGGCCTTTTGTTTGTTTGAGTTTAAGGTTTGTCAGAAAATACCCCATCACAGGTCTGATTTGTGGATTGATCTTGTGCTGTGGAACCAATGGGCGAGTGCGAATCTATCTCGACTTCTTGAGCATCATGTAAATGCAAACTTGTGAGACTATCATCATCGTTTTTGAGAGGTAAGTAAGAACAAGATGGATTACATTGGTTTAGTAATTCTGATGGTGATTTTAGGTGAATTGAGTTTGAAGTCTGAACATCGACATTTTCATGATAGTTTTCGGGGAGGTTATAATACATGCCAATGGGTTCGGCAATATATGTCTGAACTTGATTCGATTCTGAGCAAGATACACTGGGTATGCATGAATATATTGTGGCGTCTGGTTGAGATAGAAATGTTACATCGTCATCTGGTAGGGTTAAAGATTGTGGTACATGTTTGATTGTGGCTTCTGGTTCAGATAGAAATATATCATTGTTTTCAGGAGGGGTTATAGCTTGTGGCACAGGTTTTTTTGTAAGAATAGCAGAAGGTAAAGGTTGATTATCTGTTTTTTTACAATTTTTATCATTAGCATCTCCGCAGTTGTTTTCATTTATTGAATTCTTGGTGGACTTTATTGCCAGACTAACCAAATATTTTCCTCTCGAATAACTGGCCATTTTGATGATTGTGAGGATATTATAATATCAACTGAAATAATAAAAAACAAAGTATAATTCAGTATTCACTTACAGGCCTATTTTGATAATAATAATATGATATAAATACGACCTTAAGACAAATATACCGTTATTCTAAAAACGCGAATATACGAATAATAACCAAATAATTTTTTCAAGGCTTAGTTACAAAATCGCGTATGTCAAAATTTACTTTATTTTAACGAACTTTTGTATGGACATAATATCAAAAATTCATTACAATGATGCAATATGCATTGCAGGACACAGCATTACAGATTAGGAGAGAATTTACTAAAAAATATTAAGTCGTCAACGTAAAATGTTCTGTTGTACAAAGGACGTCCTATCATAAAGCAACTAATATGTATGCAAAAAGTTATTTAAACCATCCTTGGTGTGGTTTAGCTATGTAATAGTGTTCGTAAGACATTTAGGTAAATTGCGAAAGAATTATTACATTACCTCTGGCACTCTGGCATAGTTTGTTTGCTGCACATTTTGTCCTGACAAAAAAAGTTTGAGGTACGTGATTTTGGAAGACCCAATTTTACACCAATCAATATACGCCAATTTGTCACATGTTTGAAAAGACAACTTTTTATTGGCTTAGAACCACCAAATCCATATAAAAATGTGCGGAATATACTGCTGATTCCAAATAATCGAAAAAGTGATTTTAGTGAAAATGGCCATATACGCGGTTTTGTAAGCCCACCGACGATATCATGTCTGGAATTGTACCTGACGCTGATAAATATACATATTTAGCATACTTGGCCCACTTTAAACAGAAGTAACTCTTCACTCTCTAATGAAAAAGTGTGGAAAAGGTCCACAAAGAGTCAAAATATCTAACCCAGCACATGCACAGATATATGTAATCTATGCCAGGTAAAGTTTCCCATTAAATATGCAAGAAGATCAGCTTTTTTCCAGACTGAGACTATCTTTGTCTAGTGTACCAAGGCCTAAACAAATTTGTCTAAGACCCATTTAAATTTGTTAAGATAGCTTGCTAGACTAGGTAACTACACCCACTAAATGCTGTCAGAAATTATAACTAAGACTTTATAAAGTGGCTAAATAATGAGTTTTCAAACAATCTTAAAAATATTTATAAGTCAAGGCAAAATCCCTGAAACAGTTCATTACATTATCATCAAATTCAAACATGAACAATGTCTCATTGACGTACACACAACAGCAATAACTCTGAAACACTTCATGCACTTTTTAACCAATTTTCACCAAGATTGGATAAAAATTGTAGCCACGTTCTTACTAGATCGGGCTGATCAACAGACAGGGGCGACGGCAATATATGTCTACATTTCCATGTGGACGCATAAAAATTAAAGCGTGTCATACTAGATCTTGATCTTGTTAAATGGGTTTAAGGGTACTAAAAACAAGTAATTGGACTATGATTGCATCAGAGATATCTTTACCTGATTTAATCTATCTTGATGATCTTCTCCCTGTTTTTCCATTAATTCTGTTAATGATTTCTCTTCTTGTAACAATTTTTCTCTGGTTTTATCTGATTGTAATACTGCATCTATTGCTTTAGTTTCATTAGCTACCACATCTATAATATTGTATCAAATTGCTGTTCATTTCAGTCAACATAAAATATCAGGAAAATAAGCAATACGTTTATAGAAAGCAATTGAAGAAAGCAATCAAAATCATTATTCAGAAGGAAACCTTTCTGTCTTTCCTTTTCAGTGCAACAGATTTTTCAGAGTATGATGTTGTTTTCAAAAGAAATTAACAGAGTTTTACGTTCACTGTGTTGTTTTCAAGAGAACAACTAACCACTTACCTTGTTCACAATATAAAACATCTATATTAGATGGTATTTGTAACTGACGACTAGCTATATGTTTTAATAATGTTGTTTTACCATGCCTAGAAAGAAAAATATCATGTTATAGCCAGCAAATGTGAAGAAAACCTGAAAAAGTCCCTTGGAATTACAAAATCCGTAACAGTCACTCTCAAACTGCTACATATTGACAATATTGCTTCCCCATTGCACGCTTTTTAATAAAATGGTCTTGGTGCAGTTTGACAGGGTTATTACTGACAGTTTCTTGGTGAATTGGAATATCACTTTCTAACAAAGCAAACACAACCATTATCATTTTGAAACATATTTTTACACAGGGACATTCTCCTATGAAATTTCTAGGAAGGCAATTCATTGTTTGAAATGTAAAAACTCACCCATTTGGACCAACTAGACCATATCTTCTACCATCTGAGATTTGTAGTGTTGCATTAACAAATAACTCTTTACCACGGGCTGCTATTGAGAAATTTTCTACCTGAAAAAAAAAAACCATTCTATCATTATACCGTCCTTTGATAATATATACACCAAATCATGTACTTTCTTTTTTATATCTAGACACAATTTTCTTGAGTTTCTTTTTTTGGGGTAAAAATTGGCAGGGTTACCACTTTACATCAGACAATTAAAAAAAAACATAATCATTATTTCCTACAAACTACATTACATTAGTAAGGTATTATGAGTGACATGCTTCTGAAATGAAATTAATTCAAATAAATACCTTGATATCTTTAACATTATCTAATATGGCTGATTTACCAGATTTTGTAGCCTGAGAAAGTGAAAATTGACCATTTTCTTCCATTTCATCAATTTGTTTACGGAATTCAGCCTGAAAATATATAGCGAGAATAAGGTAATAAATAATAACTGGAACAATAACAAAGTTAACATTAAAGTGAAATTTAAAATAATAACATTCAAATACCACATGTGTGATTCAGTTGTACATAAACATAGGTTCAGATTATAGAAATTTAGATTTTAATCAGTCAGTGAGTCATGTTCATCACATTTAATTTTAGTTAGGTGGGCTATAATTTAAGTAAGGTGCCAAATTGCGACAGGTAAATTTTTGGAACATTTCCAGGCGGGATTTATTTATAAAATATTTCAAAGTTTAACTTATATCAACCTACCCGTTTCTTTAATTTCTTGAGTTCTTTTTTACTTAGTTTAGGGGCTGAAGAACCTGAATAAAAAAATGATTTTTCAACATATACGGTTTATAAAGTGATACCGGTATTACATTAAAGTATGACGTCTTCTAGCTTTCTGGAAGTCTAGAAGCGACTCATAGCATTGAATAAAGCTAATCTTGAAGAAACATGATTTGATTATGATGTTGATGAAGACTACAATCAGAACGTAAATTTGTAATTAGAAATTGTTACTAAGAGTCATAAAACACTATTAATCAAAAGTTCAGTTAATTAAATACTTTGACAGAAATTTCAATAAGAGAGTTAGAAACAAACATTACTCTGTTCAGATTCAGCATGAGTTGGTTCATCACCAGGATCATCACTTATATAATATTCTTGTTCTTCATCATCATCATCTTTAACTGTCTTTCCTTTTCCTTTAACATCTTTACTCTTTACTTCTTCATCCTCTTCTTCTTCTCCATTCTCAGCAGCTTTCTCTAGCTCTTCTTTTAATTTAGCCAGTTTATTTTTCTTATCTTTCTTTTTACTCTTCTTCTTTTCAGTTGGACTATCTGTACCATTTTCAGCCTACAATAAAATACCAATTAGCTTAGAGTGGCAACAGTATGTTAAACTACACGTATCTGAAATGTAATGTATAGCCACCCAAAGGCATTCTTAGACAAATGAAAATTTTATTTTGAATATTTATGAAATGAGAGAAAAAATTCAATTCAGAGCTCAATGTAGTCAGACAGTAATATATTTGAAATTGTAATCAACCTCATTATATACAAATGACAATATCAGTCCAGCAAGAATTATTACATGTCCCTTATTACATTAAAGACGCCAAATATCATAAACATCCATTACATGACCATATTGCCATACAGTCAAGTAACCTAATTTCGTGGAAACCTATTATTCGTGGATTTCCGGAAAGGATTAATAATTTACATGAGCAACCTTGCGCGACCTCCGCATTAGTTTGTTTTGATAAACATGGGTTTTCTCTACAATGTCAGCTAGTAGAATGAATCTAGTAGTTTCAAGCAAGGTAAAATGTATTAATGTATACTTTTGACAAATACAAAATGGCGTATTTCAGTTATTACCAAACGTCACCATTTTTTATCGGCCGAATTTCCTTATAATCCCAAGCGGTAATCGGAATTCCAAGTGTCGTCTGCTAGAATGTAGTCCAACGAATGAAGTCATGTGATCAACTAGCGGATTCCGTGTCAGCAGAAAATTTCTATCGAACACAAAGTGGACCATATTCTTATGTTATTTCAGTGACTTTTAGCAATAAATCACACTACGTATCTTATTTTTTCAGTCACTATTTTTTTTTTAAATCGTGGTTCTTTCAAGGAATTGTTACTAGTTATAATGAATTGATATTAAAGATAAATACTAAGAGAAGTTAATTATACCACCCGGTATCCATACAACGTATTTTTCTAGACTTATTTATAGATCAAACATTGTACACGAAAATAGGTGACGCATTCTGCCGCCGTTGCCGAGTTGGTTGCTCATGAAATATGGGTCAAAGTGAAGGATTAATAAAGAAAATCGAAACAAACCAATTTTTGTTATTTTGTAGAATATTTGAGGAAAGCTCTAAGACATAAAAAATTTTTTTCGTTTTTTTAACTTTGACGAAATTCGGTGTTGAATCATTATATCCACGAAAATAGGTTATACCACTGTATGGCTATGCCATACTTCTTTTTTCAAGAAAGGAGATAAACATAATATTAAATATATATTGGTAATATAATTCAGCATTTATTAAAAACAGAAATTGTATGTATGTAAGACTTAATACTTTAACAATTCACTACTGATGTTCATAGAATATTGTGTCATCAATCGGATTGACAATCCGATATGGCGATAATTTGTTTGTTTACCTCTTCTGATGTTGACATTTTCTTCAATCCTGCTGCTATTTCAGCTTCCTCGTCTGGATTTTTCCAATCGTCCTCTTCAATACCTTTAACTTTTGATTTTTTGGGCATTTTGATTAGTAAAAATACTTCTTTTTATGTCAAAAATAAAAATAACAGGGATAAATCTTCTTCACAACATGTGAGGGATTTTTTTAGTGAATGGCGCAACTTCCTGTTGAGGCGAGACAGCTTCTAAAGAGTTATCTTCCCTACCAGTCAGATCGTCCTTGTCCAATTCGACCACTTAATTATCTTTAATGTGAACCCATAGTTATAAATGTGAGTTATAACTATGTCCACATTTACAAAAAAACTTACCAGGCAATAATAACTACACTGATATTTGCTCCGCAATTCATGGCCATAATGAAATAAAAGGGAGTTTCAACATTTCTGCTCATGATTCACTGGTATCAGTTTCTATCAATAGTCGACTCTCTCTATACATGTATATGTACTGTTATAGAGAGAGTCGTCTATTGATAGAAACAGACTCCTGTGTCATGATTGGGCTAATGAGGACGAGCATCTCCATGCGGTGTGTAATGAGGAAAGTTTAGCCAGGATAGCAGCTGAAGCCTACTTTTTTTCAATTTCCACCTGAAAAGGGATATAAAAAGAGGCTCAGTTTGTAGCAGACAGTATCCAATACAAATGATAACATTGCTTTTTCCATAGCCGGGAAAATAGGGTTGAAAACATCCTAAGGGGCTAAGGTATATTACAACCCATGCTGGGATTGAACTCTGGATCTTCAGGCAAGGGAACAAGACAGTGTCTTACTCATTGAGCCACTGCAGCTCCTATGATGGCCATGACGTTTTTATATCCAGATTGCATGAGACTTCCCCTTATCAAATAGACTTACCATATTGAAGTTGATTATAGACTTAATCATTGACAAGCGTAGGCCTACATTGAGCCTGAATATATTTTTTTTGTTCATTTATGTGTTAAATATAGTATTAAAAGTTTTCCAAATTTATGCTGACCAATCAAAAATATGTTCCAATTTTTAAACCAAGATTATTCCACAACTCCACACATAAGGGGATCTATTATGAAACACAGAATTTTGGGTGAATATAAGATGATTGGAGTCACGATTGTTAACTCATTTGATATATGGTGCAAAATTTTGTTAATTAAGAATGGCATTATTATCCACCACGATTTATTTACAATTGAATAAATAGTATCACAGACAAAAATAGTAAACAAATATTAAATATAATGTGGGCCTACATATAAATAAAACTTCAATAAATATATCCATTAACAAATAGATAGGATGGTATGGTTCTATAATAGGAATGTATTTATTATCAATGTGTTTTCAAATTCAATTAAAACATTGAAAAAATGTATAATGCTGAATGGCCTGTCAAACTTGTTCCTACTGCCATCTGTTATGTAGGAATTAAGAGTCTTCAAATATATTCAAGTTAAAACGTATTATATGATATCACAGAAAATTGAGATATAGTGAGTTTAATTTTTGGCACTAAGCTGACTTCTTGCACTTCTTACACTGCTTAATGAAGATCTGGAACTGGCTGGTGAGGGCAAACCTGAAAAGAAATCAGTCAGAAACAATTATAATGTCAAATTAGAGCCACATGAAATAGTGAAATCTTGAAATCAGACAATCAAAAATGATTACTGCTATTATTCTAAGCAAACATCCCCTTCAGGGAGAATGAACTTTTGACGACTTACCATCTAAATCGGCACCAAGTTGAACTGGTGTTGGTGTTGGACGGCCATGACTTGAAGTAGGAGATTTGAGACTTCCTGTGCTACGAACCGATGATAAACTACTTCTGGCACTACCTAGTCCTCTACCTGATGGTGTAGGAGGGGGAAGATTCGCCTGAAATAATAACATTTCAAATAGGTCTATACATATTGATATGGAATTTTATGTGGGACTATACAATGAATGAGAATTTTTACATGAGAAAAGCTCCCAGATCTGGTTTATTTACAGGTTTAAGGAATATTCAATACTGTAGAGAGTAATTTATGAAAGCATAGAGAACTACAGTTTCAGGATTATGAATAAAACAGAACAATACCTGTGTGAAGTACATATTAACAGCTTCAGCTATATCTGGGTTTCCTTGACTACTTTCACCAATCTGTTTCATTACATTCTTATTGAATTCTCGTAATTCACGTACTTCAAAATCACGCTACAAGTAGAAAAATATTACTACTATGTAATACATAACATCACAGATATTACTGTTAAGAAATTATAAACTTGTGTTTGATTCATTGTAATTCTACAACAAGTAAAGGTTAGAAACACAATTCAGTTTAAAGTGCTATATGAGAGAGACAAAGAGAGAGCGAGATATATTTTAAGAAACCGGACAAAAGCAAAAATAATGATCATAATTGATGGGAAAACTTATACAATGAAGTAAACCAGGCATAAAAATAGACAAAAGCCACAAAAGAATCAGACTCAGCAATAACATAAGTTATCATCATTAATATATTATTTTTAACCACATCTTCAGTGAAAAGAAACTAACCTCTTCATTTGTTTCTCCTTTACTTTTCTTAACATTTCTCAGTTCTCTTGAATATTTTACATTCTACAAATAAAAATATTAACTTATCTTTATATATTATTAGAACTTTTACTAACATGACTTAAATTATAATCTCTATTTAAAGAAGGTTTA